ACTAAACTATTTTATGAAATAACACCAGCCCAAGTTTAATAATTAAACAAGGAAACTTACGTCTGCTTAATGACAAGCACACGCCTCTAAAGTGTAGTAGGTTAAAATATTATTGCCAGTAATCACTGTGTTACTCATCAAGGGGAAGGCATGCCAGGTGTAACACAGATGGGTTTTGATTAAGCTGAGTGTGTGGCAGCATGAGAAGGAGCCTATAAACAGGAAGGACTCTTTGGAAGGGTAGATAATAGCAGGACAAGGGGAAATGGTCTGAAGTTGAGAGAGGGAAGATTTAGGCTGGATGTCAGGGGGAAGTTCTTTATTAAGAGAGTGGTGAGGTGCTGGAACAGGCTGCCCAGATCCCTGGAGGTGTTCAAGGCCAGACTGGATGGGGCCCTGGGCAGCCTGATCTGGTATTAAATGTGAAGTTGGTGGCCCTGACCGTGGCAGGGGGTTGGAGCTTCAGGATCCTTGGGGTCCCTTCCAACCCAGGCGATTCTGAGAGGTGGAGGTAGCACTGCATTGCGCCCTTCCCTCCACAGCGTTCCATTGCCACACAGTCTGTGCTCAAGCTACAAAGTAAAAAACATCACTAAAGTTCACATTATAGGCTCAACTGGCATAGCTGCCCCAATGACTTTCTGTTCCACCCCACCACGTGGGTTTCAAGCAGCCAGTCCAGGAGCACAAGATGCAGCTAGCCTTGGAGGAACAGCACTGTGAAAAATGGACCACGCTGCACCAAAGGCACTACTCAGGAGCAGCTGGTCCTCTCAAACTCAGGAAGAAAACTCTCCAACTCCAACATGATGTTGGAAAGCGGTGTTATTTTATTCTTTGTTCTATGTTCCAGGTGACTTAACAAATCAAGCATGTCCAAGGCACACATATGCAATACATTGGCTTACATATTCATTTTTTTCCTTAACACATATAAGGAGTTTCTTATAACTCCTTAATATATGCTAATGTCCATCTGGGACATTAGCAAAGACCTCTGGTGGTCTTTGACCACTTCCTTCCTCCTCATTTTTCTAACATCATCTTCATCATAATGACATTCAGCCTACCTTTAGCTGTATTTCCTCAATTTGGGAAGTTCCTATTTCTTGTCATGCCATAAAGAGCAGCTTTCTAAGTTGGTGCACTATAGCCCAAACCAATGTATGTGAATTCAAGGGAAAAATCCTTGTGCCTGGTGGGTCCAAAGAGAAAAGTGGTTTATTGTGACCTCAGTGCTTCTGTGAAGTTTTGCTCCACACAAATCTAAACTAGAAAGTTTTAGTACCAGCACTAATTGATCCTTTTGCTAAGCTAATATACTGGTCCTTAAATTAATGTCCTGATTCCTTCTGCTAAATCAGCCTACATTAAATCAACGCTAAATCAACGCTAAACTAGCCTACATTAAACTCATGGGTTAAATCAGCCTTAATGAAAGATCCCAGATAAAATTATAATTAATTCCTTAACCTTTAGTCTGAATAACATCTCAATTCATTAGGCATAAACAAGGAAGGCACTCAAATAGGATATGGCTTTTGAGTAGGCACAGAGAGAGAAATCTCCAGCGTTATTTTTGTGATAGAGCTTGCCACAGACTGTCTTGCTGGAATCAGTTCTCAGCTGCTCCGAGACCTGCAGCTTTGATACTTACTGACATTTTGGCATCCTTTCCTGCACTAAGATTATTCATCCCCTGAATTTTTTTAGTATTTTTTCTTCATTGACTCCTAAAAATAACTATGATATTGAAGTAAGAATCTTAATATTTGAGTACCACCTATTGAACTAATCTTGGCTCTGCAATATTTTTCATTCTGTGGACAAAATCCTCACGTCTGGACTCTTTGCAGATGTTGCTTGGTTCATACCTCCACAGACACCAAACTGCTCTCAAGAAACAGCTTCATTCAGATCGTTCGCTTAAAACACTTTCTGAATCCCAATTGCGTGGGAAAGTCAAACTAATTGAACTGTCTGGCATTAATCCACAAGGCTGTGAGGCTTGGGATGTCCCCTGCCTGGCTGCAGGGCCTCATGCACCAGGCAAAGACTGGTCAGTGAGAGATCCAGAGATCCTCTGCAGTGCCTGCTGCGTACCATCTGTGAAACATGCTCCTCCTCTTAGTCATGTCTGCTGTGCTTTTAGCAGAGTTGGATTTTTCTAGCAGCAGGTTAGCCCACTGACTGGGCATCAAAGCTGAATAACAATTGAAAGCTTTAAAGTGCAATTTAGAAAACAAAAAAATATATCAAACATGTCTTGTTGCTGCTTTAGAAGAGCTCTGGGAGCACATTAGCCTGGGTGAAACATGAAAGAGCAAGGAATAAAGGTGAAAAGCAAGTTGATGAATGTAGGTGGTTAAATGGAATTAAACGTGTGATTATGTGACAGGTGGGTATGGGTATGAATCACACACCATGCTGCCATTTTAAAATTAATGCTGCACAGAAATAGACCACGCTATCATTTTAAATGACACAAATGGGGCTTAACCTTGTTTCTTTCCATCAGTCTCAATTGATTATGAGTTTTTAAAGAAGTAGTTAATTGCTAGGAATGCATTTTGCTGTTTTTCAGAGCAAGCTGCTGATGAAGAATATGATGAGTCACCTAACTGGATAGGGATGTGTGTCAGTATATAAGGAGAAAAACAGATTAATATACCACCCGAATGCCAATGTGCATTCTGATTTTTGATTACAGTAAATAGGCTCAGAATGATATTGTTTCATTGATGCAAAACTTAACACAGGTTGAAAACGGGTAGGCTGGAAGATTTGGGACATCAGCTTAAAAAGAAATGTAAAAAATATTCTTGCTTCTCTGTCCCACTGAAAATCTGAATATTTTCTGGTATGAGAAAGAAGAAAGTTCTAAAACGGTGCATTGTTTAAAAAATGTGGACCATAGCCCTGAGGTGAACACAGAAACAAAACAACTGCCTGTTATGTGGCTGGCTGTACACACTTCAGCACTGGGATCCGTGCTAAAAGCAGCAGCAAACAACTGTCCATTCCCCCTCCAGTGAGTTTCTGCCTGGTACTAACATCAGAGCCATTACAATTAATGAGCTGCTCCTATCTCATGAAATGCATTGGGTAGGGTGAACACCTCCTTGAAGAGGAAGAAATGCTCCTCCCACGGGGATGGTGAGCTTGCTGGAAGCATGCTTCTTCAACTCAGTGCTCCAGCATGTCGGAAGTGGGTATGTGTATATAATGTATGTACTGGGTATGTATGTTTACACCACGGTCATGCCAGTGTGGAGGCACTTGCACCTTTTAAGTTAGCCAGGCTACATCTCCATATATTGGCATCTAACTTCTTTCTTGATGATGAATAGCTGCTTGTTTTAGAAGAAGTCTGGTTTGATCATTTAATTGAAAATAATATTTAAATAAATAATAGTAATGGTAATAAATAATAATGATAATAATAGTTTGACAGCTATTAATTAGGAAAATAATTAGTCACATGGCAAGGTGTCAGTTCTGCACACAAAGGAACTAACTGGTAGTTGTCTTGGAAGAGTCTGGTGTCCTACCAGCGCCACTGAGTATTGTCATACAATAAACAGACGTTGGTGATTGGGGAGTACTTTTCCTTTGAATTACAGGAGATCTGTGCTCTTAAAAAAAATAATCAAACAGGCTCTACCTCCTCTCCTTCTGCACAAAAGTGCCACTGTAAGCTACCACTGAACAACACCAAAAATTAAATGTGTGAGAATAAAATTATTTAGGACAAAGAAAGCTAGTCATTGTTTTTCTGATGTTTTAGATCAGGGATGGCCAACCTTTTGGCTTGCCTGGGCCACACTGAGTGAAGAGGAATTGTCTTGCTCTACATAACATACTCCAAAAGTAATGCCTTCTATTTATTTCCGTGGAAACTACAACAGAGACAAAGGGCACAACAACACTATTTGATAGAGGAAATTCTCAAATTATCATTAATAAATAAGTAGCAAACCATTTTAATGTTTAATATTTTTCGCAAAACATTAAAAAAAGAGGGGAACAAAAAGATAAAAGTAGTGGGATATCTCAATGGCAGTGGCTGCAGCTCTTCGTGAGGTCTTGAGGTGTTCATCTGAGGTTTTTGACAAAATTTTATTCTCTGTGTGCTTCATCCTTGACAGCTGGTCACAAATGTGTGTGCTGCCAAAACACAGTGATGCAAATGAGGCACCATTGTGAACTGAAGGATATACTTCTCCCTGTTAAGACAGGGATTACAAAAGCCTGGTAAAGAGACATGATCAGATTTTTATCAGAGTTGAATATTTGATTCATTGCCTTGATGTCCCTTGTGATAGTCCTCAGTCTTCCCTCAGTGACTGACTCAATCTGAGCTACCAGTAAAGGATAATAACCATAAAGGTGAGCCAGACTAGAGAGTCTCCTACTAATGTCCCTGACCCAGACTCCAGGGAGGCAGAATGCTTCCCTACGTGTAAGGTCTGACCAATGTGTGAAGCCCTCCATCCTTCTCAGATACCTTTACTCTTCTTTCCTTCTTGGTTGAGGAGGTTTTGAGGCATGGAGTCAATTGCTTTGCCCTAGACAACCACATGGGTGGACCTTCCACCGCATCCTCACTCATCTCTCCCTTGAGTTTCAGAGCCTCAAACATATCACCTAGGGACACTTGGAGAATCGAGATAGGTGTGCCTCTGACACTGAACTGAGAACTGCTTCTATTCCTCCTCCTCTCCTAAATTCCCACCTTCTGCCCAATAGTGGCAGTGCAGAAGGTTCACTACTATTTATGGGGTTTCACATCAGTATTGAACGGAGTTATTTCACCAGTCTATTGCCTGCTTACATTTTCTGGTATCCTTAACCTCTCCACCTCCTCCTTGGGCAGATCATCCACCTGGTCACACCTCACACAAATCATATTCTTGCTTCTTCACTTGCCCTAGGCAACAGCCTAGGAACTCCCTGAAGCCAAAGACCTGAACCACCACATTTTGGGGCAGGCAAAATAACAAGTGTGCACCATGCCTGGAAGTATTTGCTTACTGGAACGATGCATGGAGAGGTGGGAGCAAGCTCTGGGTCCAACTGTTAACCCTCAAAATTAATTCAATATATAGTCCTCTTATTGAGGATGTACGAGATATTAAACTGATGCGAGCACCTGATCTTAGCCAAAAGGCCAAGAAGTGATCTGTAGCCATCTACTTGCATCACACCAACAGAAAGCTCCATTAACAAAAATCTAATTAAAAAATACTCTCACAGATCCCCTCTATAAGACTTTGCTTTTATCCAGGTTTCAAAAAGCACACTCTTGGTTGCATAATGGGGAAAGCAATCACTGTGATTGTGGTTAAGTCAGAACCATGCTAAGAGCCAGGCAATCTCACAAGAAGCCACATCACCTTAAAGCCATGCAGCATGATGTACAAGGTGCCAAGTATGAATTGTGTGCTGATACTACACTGTGAATCTATTTAAAGTTTCACAAACCTGAAAGCCCTCTAGAAAATTGCCACAGTGATTCTAGCCATTATTAATACATTATTGTGTGCTTTTTTTCCAAATGCAGGTACTTAAATCAATCTGTGAACAAGTCATGAAAAAACCTCAGTATCTTACTGAAAATCAAAACCTCCAGCAATTAGGTAACAAAATCTTGATTTTACCAGCAGTTTGTCCTTGGCATCAGTGTATTACTGTGCTTTGAAGATGCAAGCACACACTGTAAAAGAACTGCCAACACCACTTACCCATTTCTAATGCAGGCATAATCTCGATGAAATGGTAAGGATTACTAAATATTTAGTCAGTAGAAAAATAAAATAAATTTATACATCATTTTACTTCAAATGAGGAGGAACAGAGCATATGTCCTGTAATTTTAACAAAAGACAGCTACTATCAAGCAAAATAAAATTAATTCAATTATGCTTCACATTGTATATTAGGTAAGTGTATTGGGTCTATGTGGCAAGGCTTTGTTAGTGGCAGGGACTGCAGGAATGGAATCTGTGAGGCAAGATCTATAACCGTCTTAATTCCAGCTGGAATGGAATTGTTTTCTTCAGAGCACCTGGTCTGATGCTGTGTTTTGGTTCTAGGAGAAAAACAACATTGATAGCACACAAATGTTTATAGTTGCTCCTAAGCAGCACTGTACAGAGCCAAGGCTATTCTCTGTGAAGGGCTGGGAGGGAACAGAACAGGGACAACTGACTTACACTGGTCGAAGGGATATTTTATGCCATACGACATCTTGCAGAAGGAGTTTTGAAGGGGGTGGGAGTGCATCTCACTCTCTTCTACTGGTCAGGGGCTAGCTGGTCATTGGGAGGGTGGTGAGCAGTTATTGTACATCACTTGTTAAATACATTTATATGCAGAGAGAGATACTCAAAACTATTTTGCTTTTCTTTTTTTTTTCTATCCTAGCAAATCCTAGCAAATAATATTTCAACCCACAAGCTCTACTTGTTCTTTTATTCTCTTTCATCTTACTTGGAAGGGGGACAATGAGAGAATGACTGTGCAGTATTGAGCTACCTGCCACGTTAAACCACAACAGTATCCCACAGAAAGGACCTGCCTCAGAGCAATCCTGAACAATGGTACCACATGGGAGATATTCCCTGCTCAAGCAGGGAAAGTGCGTGAGGAGGAAGGAATAGCAGAAAGGAGCTGAGTGGACTGAGCACAGACGACATTACCTTTCCCCATGTACCAGACAGGGGGAGGAGCTGGGAGCAAAACTGAGAAAGGAACAGGAGGAAGGAGCTTTTAGTTTTGTTTCTCTGCTTTGCTTTTACTTTACAATAAATTAATCTACCCTAAGCTGAGTCTGTTTTGCCTGCGATGGCAATGAGCAAGCAATCTGCCTGTTCTGAGCTCAACTCATGGTAATTTCATCTATTTTCCGTGGCCCGTGAGGAGAAAGCAAGTGGGTAGGTACCTGGCAGATAGCCCAGGTCAGTCTGGGACAGTGACGTAATTGCTGGGGACAAAAATGTGGTCATGCACATTGCTGTAGGTGAAAGGAAATGTTTCATTTCTAAGCTGTTAGCCAGCGTTGACACCTGTTTCTTAGAAGACAAGTTGATCCCATGCCCTTTATTTGAGACATACCTTGTTTGATCCTCTAGTAGAAGAGCAACAGAACCTGTATTAAAAGTAACAGATCAAATTTCCAGCTATCATCAAGCCAGAAGTGGCAGTGATTGACTGATGAAAAGGAGCAGAGATAACACTGCAACAGGTGTGTGTTTGCACCAGCCTGACATGCTCTTGCCTTGCAAGGCAAGTTGCTCTTTCAGCGGTAGGCAAAGCAGCTTGCTGTAAGCTGACTGCTTGAGATGAGCAGTTCTTTGTCCCTAGTGTGATAAAATCTCAGGTGGCTGTGCCTATCAGAGGGATGGCAGTGGGTGCTTGCTGTGCCAATCAGACAGTAAATTAAGCCTTCAGGGTGTCTGAATAGCAGCACTGAACACTTTATGACAGTTCTGCACTGAACTGATGTAGTAATCAGGTGATAAGTGGCAATATGTTTGAAGGTTGGTAGTGGAAGATCAACGTGAGGAAATGTAATACAGTAGTTCCAAGGGTGAGAGGATTACAAGCTTAATATTGTAATTATTTTTTCATTCTCTAGTTAATAAAAATAAAACTGTCCTTTTCCTACAACCTGTGGCGAGCTTGAAAGAGACAGAACAATGTTGTCCATGTACGCTTATGGGGCTTGGTACTTCCCATCTTTGAAGGAAAGCTTGTCTGCTCGTGCACTGTGAATGAGTTCTGAGACACTACAGAGCTCAGGAGGTTTGTTGTTGTTTTTTTTTTTTAAATGAATGGATCTGCTCTTTTTTTTTTTTTTTGGAATAGCATTGTGTCCTCATAAGTATATATGAGTTTTCAATGGTTTGGCAACTTCAGATACACAAAATTCATGCTAAGGAACTGCTATAAGCCTTTCTGAGGTAGAGAGAGAAGTTGAGTTGTCCTGGCCAATTCTGTTAGACTCCTTTGGCACCTCATATTAATAAACATTTATTTTGTAATCTATCCCTGCATGAATTCCATGTAAAGCTGTCACTGAGGTATCATGATTCTATGGCAAATCATATTCCTGTGAGTTTTGTGACTAGAACCAAGAGGAAAAGTAAAGGTGCTGCGTAGGCTGTGGTGAAGTAACACAAGGTCTCTTTTTCCTTCTGGTGGATCAGAATTGTTCAAATTTTCCTTGTCCACTTTTTGTGGGCTAGTATTGGAACGTAATACATCAGGTCATTCAGACATCACTCACAATTAACTCGGAATAAAGCTGGAGATACCGCATGCACAGGTGTCATTCTCCCCTGTACTACACAGGAGTGAGGCCATGCTGGAACCTTTTGCAGCTGCAGCCACATAACATACAGAATCTCAGTATACATCTGGGCACAGCCTGAGAGAATAAAGACTCTGTGTGCTTTAAGAGGGGTTGAGTTCTTTTCCACTGTGGGCTGGGATGTTCTGCAGGGCTATCTGAAGCTGCCCAGCTATATTGCCCACTGAACATAGGATCATAAAGTATTTCTGAACAGACAATGCCTGAACCAGGCACTGAATGACTCAGGTTGGAAGGCTAAATTAAAGATCATCAAGTCCCAACCTCCCTGCCACGGGTAGGGTTGCCAGCCATCAGATGAGGCTGCCCAGGGCACCATCCAACCTGGCCTCCAGGGGTGGAGGCAGCTTCTCTGAGCAACCTGTTCTAGGGCCTCACCACACCTAGAGTAAAGAATTTCTTAACATCTAACCTAAATTTCACCTCTCTTAGTTTGAAGCCATCCCCCCTTGACACGTTACTTATCAGACTGCGGAAAAAGTTGCTCCCCTTCTTGTGTATAAGCTCCTTTCAAGTACTGTAAGGCCACAAGGAGGTCTCCACAGAGCCTCCTCCAGACTAAACAAGCCCAATTCCCTCAGCCTTTCTTCACAGGAGATCATCTCTTCATAGAAAAGGCATTTCAACCTTTTGACCATCTTTGTGGCCCTCATGGTGATGTGACCTTTTCCCTTTATATAAATAAATTTTCCTCTTAAATTGTATGCTACCTAGAGAAAGACAACTTTATTCTAACATATTTCTAATGTGTTTTGGTCAGGTTGATGGCAGATGATATTGAATAAGGAATTTCTGCTTTTTCAAGCTCTCCTTCCATGTAGGAATCCAAGGTAATTGCCTTGTAACTCTCTTCATAATAAAGAAATCATAGCAGAAGACAAGAACATCTCATGCATATTAAGAAAGTAAAAATGCAAATATATCTCACTTACTGAAAGAGAGTAGGATCTTCTCAGACATGCAACAGCTTCAAAAACCTTACATTCCAGCTTCAGTGGAGATGCAGACAGCATCTCCCAAATGGTAAATGTAGCACCTGGGAAATGTGAAGAATGGACACTGATGACTTTTGGAAAGAAGGTTCATGTTCCAGCCAGAGGCTGACAGCTATCAAATGTGTTGAAGAGGAGCCAGGTTTGCTCTCAAGCCAAGCATCACAGCCAGCAGACCATTAGGAGTGCAGCAGAAAGAAGCAAGTGATAGCAGTGTGCTACTCCCTCCTTCCAGGGACAGACACCTGCCATCCTGACCTACTGTCTGCAGAAGTCTGCTCCTTGCTGGGTCCCAAACAGGTTTGGGTTGTAGTAGAAAGAGTGCTGAGGCTTGTCCAACTCTCTAAATACAATAGAATGGCTTGGGTTGGAAGTGATTCTGCCAAGGGCAACATGAATAGTATCGAAAGTGGCTACCAAGCCCTGAAAGAGGTAGTAAAGGGCAGGGGGGTCTATTACCACCTGCTAACAACTGCTTGCAGAGCTAGTGTCAGCCTGCAGCCTGGAAGGCCAGCTGTGTTCTGGGCTGCATTAAAAAAGAGGTGGCCAGCAGGGAGAGGGAGGTGATCGTCCCCCTCTACTTGGCTCTTGTGAGGCCCCATCTGCAGTGCTGCATCCAGGCCTGGGGCACCCAGCACAGGAAGGACGTGGAGCTGTTGGAGTGGGTCCAGAGGAGGGCAGTGAGATGATCAGAGGGCTGGAGCAGCTCTCCTGTGAGGAAAGGTTGAGGGAACTGGGATTGTTCAGCTTGGAGAAGAGAAGGCTCTGGGAGACCTCATTGTGGCCTCTCAATTCTTGAAGGGAGCGTATAAACAG